TAATCGGCCACTTTTTCCAAGCGCATAATCCCCACGCGTACCATAATTAACTATAATGGTCCTGATTGGTTAATATCATTAGATATGACAAATTCTCCACCGATTGTTTTTTCGTGGAACAGAAAGTTGCAAAGCACTTTTATCCGCTTTAGCAGTGCCATGAATTTGGAAGGTTTTTTCCTTATAACCCATCCGAACCCTTCTTTATATACGTTAAGTGTATTGTGCTCCTTTTTTCCTCATCAGCTCCCCAGCCACAGCCGCAGCCGATGCAGCAGCCGATGCAGCAGCCGATGCAGCAGCCGACCGTGGTCCAAGTCACTGTGCCAGCCCAGACCACTTCCCATATAGTAACCGTGGGTAACTGTCCCGTCTGCCACATCGGCAACATGAGGGAGGAGTTCTCGGCAGTCGGCATCGTACTGGCCGTCCTCTTCTTCCCGCTCGGTGTGATCTGCTGCCTTATGATGACCGAGAAGGTCTGCCCTCACTGCGGGGCGCGCTTCGGCGCGTAAACAGGTGCACCGGTACAGCCAAGAACGGGAGACACAGTGGAAAAACCTCGAGATTTTTATGTCTGTCACGGCAATTAAGGTTTATAAAAGTTTATAGGCCAACATAGCTTTCCCTAGGCCTACTCCTTTAAAATTAGCAGCATCAGCCTAGCAGCAACAACAACAGCAACAACAACAACAACAACAACAACAACAACAACTTTCAGTACGAAATATTTCATGTGTGAATAAATTTGGATACTAATTTTCGGTCACTGTTTCTTAATGCTTTGGTTATATATGAAGTGAGCTAATGTTGGTCACTATGGTCTTTGCTGTTACAAGGTACATACGAAATATCAGTTTACAAAATACACGATACTAGGCCTAAAATATGCAGTAGCTAGTTGTAAGTATACAAGTTTATATATTATTGAGAGACCGACAAAAAAAGAAGCCTATATACGGATGATTTCACATTCAGAAAGGGCCCTCAACAAGTTCACGGAAACACACAAAGGACCAAGCAAAAACGGCTAGTTCCCAACAGCAGAACCACATTAGGCATACATCGTCTTACACACCACAAGCCTATGAAACGAATTTAGTGGAGGGAGCATTACTCATGCGACACTGTCTTTGTTGAAATATCGAGCTATACACGATCTTTCTAGGCTGTAATTTGAGGACGCTACTGTCCCCTTTTCACACAGAAAAAAATAATTGTGAAATTGTTCTTTTTCTAGCCATACAAAAAGTTAGTCACTTTTGAATGGGACATCAAACGAAAAGATCGGCCAACGTTTTGTAATGAAACAGTTAATTATTTCGAGAAAAATTGAAAAATCAACATGTCAAGGAGCAGGGTTCGTTTTTTCTTTTTCTTTTCTTTTTAATATATTTCAGGCTTTTTACGGTCCCTTTATCACATTTCACGCTTGTATAAAAGCTGTGTTGTTTCATGCTTCTTAATTGTATCTGTAATAAGCACCGCTCTGAAAGATAAAGCTTAAGGTTTTGATATATATATGTTTCCATAAAACATTTTGTTATTTCCAAACGACATATTTCACAAAAATTATTCTTGTTGTACTGAAAATAACGGATTTGCAGGATCGCTGTAAGGCTCCATCTTTTTTATATCTTTGTTTTTATTTAAGAATTAGCTGCGATTTAAATAAAGGCATATAGGATCACATGCATTTATCCAAAAAGTAACCTACCGAATTACCATCAAAAGGCTCAGTTGGATCAAAAGATCGTACTGATACTAAACAGACTGTGAAATTATTCCGTCAGCATGGCTTGCTGTCATTTAGGAGAAATCAAGAAATGTTAATTTCCTGCAACGATCAGTCACTTGGCTGTTTTTTTTAACTCGTTTTTGGTGATGAAAGGCTGTGCCATTTTTTCACTGTTTTCTCGAAAAATAAATTATCCACTTAGCTGAAACTTATAGTTCAGGTTTTGAACATTCTTCTTGTATTTTATGTGTTATTATTTGAAACGAAATGCATGAAAACCAAACGATCCTATATGCCTTTAACAAAATACAATAACAACCTCAAGTTTAACAAGAGGGTGCCATTTTGTTTTCACATAAACTTGTTTTACAGAACTCAATGATTTGAAATAAAACGGTACTTTACTAGAAATAAAATGGTTACTTTACTAGAAATAAAACAGTTACTTTTACTAGAAATAAAACGGTTACTTTACGGTTATATTTTAATAGCCCTTTTTTCTTAAGCTTTGGATACATTTTGTATTAATGACAAAAGGCATTAAGGACCGCACTAAATATCCATTAAAGGTATCGAACATGTAAACGCTTTCCGGCATGTTTTTTGGCGTGAACATAGTATGCTTTTAGGTTATATATATATATATATATATATATAAACAAATTCAAATGCTTTATATAAAACCTTTTGGTTCAAAATACAATGAAGTACCATTTAATAGAAAACTGATGAGATTAGATGCTATTATGTCATAGATGTATGTCGGAAAGATTTCAGTTGTGGGAAGGATTTGAAATAGCAATGCATTAAGTCAAGTTAAAGCAAAAGGACGAAATTCGGTATTCGATAAAAACACTTTATCACCTAAAATGAGTGGCAAAATTTAGCTGGTGCACTTTACTGCAGGTACATAGGATCATTTGCTTTTTGTGTAGTTTTTTCTCTTCGTTTGAAGCAACAAAATTGCTCGACATATTAAAAAGTGTCATGCATAACAACTAACTATAAGTTTCAGCTCATTGGATACTATACATTTTGAGAAAACAGAGAAAACGCAAGAAGACTTTTTGAGGTCTTGTATCTGGATTCCGTTGCTATTAACGCATGCAACAAAGATCTGTGCCCAAGGCGCACTGTCTCAAACCACCTTCAATCATTGTTTTCTTTCGAAGGATGCCATATCAGGCGGAATAATTTCACAGGGTACCTGGTACCGGTCCTATCGTCACTTTGAGTGAGCATTTGCTTCGTTGAATTGTATCGTACGCTTCCGGGTAACTGCAAATCTTCCTACGTGCCTCTAAACTTAAGGGCTAAAAATGTCCAATTATGTAACACAGTGTATTTGTGTACACGTTATTATTTGTCCTTTTCTATATTTTATAATTTTGTACACAGAATTTAAAGGAGTTATATTTACTTTTTCAATAAAACATGCAAGTACCTAAACCTTTTGTCAGTAATCTTTGTTGTTCATCAATCCCTTTAAAGAAACAAGAGGAGTGTTATTAAAGGAATAAGTGTGTGCCTGGCCGGCTTTAAACACTCTATTTAAGACCGGTTGGAGTCTGTATGCTGATAATTACTCAAGCCGAAGGCATGGGTAATTATCAGCATCCAGACTCCAACTGATTTTATACATAGTGTCTAATACCGGCCAAGCATATATTTATTCCCATTCATAAATACCTTTTCTGTAAAAAAAAAAAAATCTAAAGTTTTCGGTCCAAAAGTAAAAGCAAGTCAAAAAGTTTAAATTTCCAACGATTTTGTTCAATAAGTTTACTTCATATTTTTCATAACACCCCTTTAGCTATATTATGGTATGTCCCTGTCGTAAACAACCCCTTATATGGAGATTGGCGCTCGCGCGTCGCGCGTATTCCGCGATGTGGCTTAGAACGCAGCTGTGCCGGTGTAGTGTAATATATGAGTATACAATTATTGAGTGGCTTAGAGGGAAATGTGAGGAATATAAGCGCAAGGTAAAATCTGGAATTTTCCAGTTCACTAGGCGAAGCCGAGTTGTTGAAGCCAAGGTGTGCCTTCTTTCAGCAAAACGAAAACAATTCACACACATCCCTATATAAGATTTGTTTTCGTTTTGCTGAAAACCACATCTGGAAGGAGTATGGGCTCCGTGAGCCAACACATTAGAGGGCTCGTTTTTACCTCTTTTGAGAGCCCCTTGGATATGACACCGAGTGTGCGTGATGTACTGGCTCGCGCGCGTACGACTTCATTAACCTGAACATCACAAATGTTCCCGTTCCGTCATGGACGCTCTATGCACAGTCAATCCGTTAGAAAGTACAACTAAGTGGATAATCTGCTGACCCTCTGGGACCAGCAAAGTGAAAGTTAGCGCGCCAAGGTGAGACTGTTACAAGTCTATTTCTTAAGCGACAGTCATTGAGTGAGTAAACTGAGTCAGTCAGTCATTTAGTTATTCAGGCAGTAAGGTACAAAAAGGACCAGTAAATATAACCAAAGAGCAGGGTGTTATCAATACACGCAAGATATGTTTATGAAGGTGGGACAATTTCCTAGTACACGTTTATGCAAAAGCATATAGCAAGAGTGTAATCCAATGCATATACATAAGCCGCTGCACAATGCAAGTATTGATCGAAACCGCTGTCTTTTGTAGTCCGCCTCGGTACATTTCACGAGAACAGACGAAAAAAATTATTCCCGATGCAAAATATGAATAGAGTGAAGGCATGATATACAGACTTGTCATGGAATAGTGCAATGTTAACTTTGCACAATTCAGGCTAGCATAAATAATTCACTTGCACGCATCTCGTCAATTGAACACGATATAAGGAACGCATCTTACCGAGGACGGCAACAAGCTACAGCCCACTACCAGCCGTTGCATGGAATTCGTAAGTAAACGTTACAAAATTGACAGAACCAGAAAGAGTGTTTGTGAAGATTTGTTTAGAATTTAATTGGAACAAAATTCGGAAAGTAAACGCTAGTGAATATTGCCGATGACTACGCTATAGTGGATGTGACTTGCAGTTTCTGACACGATTTCTTTTGTAAAATCTGATATATGAAAATCACATCAACTAACCCAACTGCCCGCTCCATTTTAAAGAACAATATATATTGTGAAGGCTTTCGCCCCTTTTGTCGTTAGGAAATTATTCTGAGACTATACATGCATGTATGCTGTGCGGCAAGGCATTTGTTTTATTGCGCCATTTTCCTCATGTGAATCCGAAATTAACAGGGAAAATCAAATCTGGCTTTATCACTCTTATAAATGGTGACTTTAAAGTGGCCGTGTGCCTGTTGGCAACATTCCGGCATGACGTCACGGGGCAGATGTTTTATCTCTGCATCTGAAGGATGGATTCAGGCAATAAATATGTGATTGGCCGGTTTTAAACATGTTTAAGGCCGGTTTGGCGTCCGGTTTCAAACACTATGTTTACAGATCGGTTTGGCATCTGGACGCTGACGATGACCTGCGAGCCAAAGACGATGGTCAAGAAGTCAAAATAAGTAAAAAAATTATAAAGTTACGACGATTTTGTTCAACAAATCTACTTCGTATTTTTCGAAACACCCCTCTAGCTATGTTATGGTATGTCCCTCTTGCTATATTGTCGTAAACAACTCCTTATAATTAAGCCGGTGTAGTGTGAAGTTAGGTCTATAAAAATACAGACTCATTGGTAGTATTGCGCAAGCGTAATCAAGGATTGTGAACGTTCATCCATTCAAACGGTGAAAGGCACCGGATTTCATAGGAGTCCACAT